TGTTTCCTACTTCTGAAGCAAGCCAGTCGGCACTGAAGATGAGGCGCGCACACACACTCACGGATAAGAGTGTGTTCCAGAAGTGCTCACATCCCTGGTTCCTGGTGCTTTGGGCCTGGCTATTCCATTCTTCCCACAGTTTGGTTGTTCAATGCATTCTTGGATTTCAGGAGCCAAGAGGGTACAGTTTTGCTTGAGCTAGGTTAGGTTGGGATTCTTTTCACTTAGAGCAAAAGAGTAATGGAGAGTCGAAGACCTTTGCCTGGTGGCCTTATGAGCCTTGGTGGGGAGAGAGGACAGAGAGAGAATTCTGGGAGTGGGGAAAGAGGAGAAGCAACGAGGCAGTGCAGGGGTGGCGGTGGGGGTGGGGGAGATCCACTCAGGGCTGAGACTCTCAGGAGAAGAGTGATGGGCAGACAGGAGGTGACGGCATGGCTATGGGACTCTGACAGCTACTGGTAAGCTGATCACCTCCACCTGAGAGAGGGGGCAGCACCCCTTTCCCCCTTTGTTCTTTTCAGTGTTTGCCCCAGCCAGGACACTTTTCACAAGCTGGTGGCTGTGGTGCTGTCAGTAAGGGCTGGGGTCACTCCTATCACTCTCATCTATATCCCAACTCGGCCAGGGATCTGCCCTTCCTTCCCTTCTTTCTCTGGTCCTGTCCCATCTGTTGTCCCACAGGGTGCCAGTGAATCCCCTCCTGACCCAGGCCCAAGAGGGCTCCTCAGATGGCAGCCAGAGATCAGAGAACAGTCCGTCTGCCCAGGTGGGCACAGGCTTTGGGGCTGACCAGGCCCATCTGATCTTGGGGCCCCTGGAGGACACTGCCTTCTGCAGGGCTTCTTCATTCTAGCTGGGGAGCAGGGAGGGTGCAAGGTGAGTGTCCACCCATCCGAAGCATTGTTCAGCGTCTCAGTCAGGGTCCTGGCAGGGATTGGGTGGCCCGCCCACGTGGGAATGAAGGAGAGTTTAATGGAGGGCTATTGACATAGTGCTACCTGCTGATGCTATAGGTCTGAGCCTTTGCCACCTCTAGACCTGAGGGGACAAGGGAGAGGACTGATAGCTGGATCTTCAGAAGAGGGTGCAGGCACCTGTGGTGCCCAGACAGAGAGGGAGCCAGCAGACAGCTACCCCCCCCATCACTCTCGCCTGCCCTGCAGCAGGGGGCAGGATGGCTCCGGAGGGGTAGGTGGGGGCCCCCCAGCCTGCAGAGTCAGCACAGGCAAAATGCCGAGGCCAGTGTGGGTGGAGCTGGGTGTTTCTCCAGAAAGGGCTGTGGTGAGCATCACTGCCAGCCAGGCACGTCACTTGTCCCTGCCGCGAGGACTCTGGAAAAGCTGACCACATCGGTAATTACAGAATCCGGAGGTGGCAAGACCTCATAGCATCTCTGACTTCATCTTCTTGTCGGGGCAGGAGAAGGTCTCCCGGGAGAAGGAGGTGACATCTAAAGTTAGTCAGAGGCTGAGAGGAAGTCAGCTCAGACTCCCTGCTCTTCAAACCGGTGCCGGCTGCTTTGAAAACGTGGTGGGTCCCCTTGACCGGCTTGCACTCTTCGTGTTTGTAAAAATCATCAGAGGGAAATGTGTTTGAAGAGAGAGGATGTATTTTCTGAGACTGATGATGCAATTAGAGCAGGCCAAGAGATGAAATATTAGGTTTATAAACTAAAATGTACACAGATGTTTATGCTTTTTGGCAGACACAGGTACATAAATAATTATTTTTGCCTTAGACTCAGTGTAGTATTCTGCTCTTTGTGTTGGCGCAGCGTCTCCTCCCGCGGCCGTTCCTGTGTTTGGCATAAATCACAGTGCAGAGAAGAGGCTCCTTAAGTGGGGGCTCCCTCGGCTGGCACCTTCGGTGTATCTGGGGAGGAGAAAGGCACTCCGAGGGGATTGGCCTCAGTGCCCTTCGGCTCTCTGGCTGTTAGGGTTGAGCTCTGGGCGGGAGAAGGTTTCAAGCGGGCATTGCAGTGGAGAGGATGCTGTGTGTCCCCTCTGCTGGGGGAGGGGATAAGGCCCCCCACCCTCTCTGCTGGGAGGGGACTCTCTTACAGAGGGAGGTCACGGGGGCATCCTTGCATGTGGTTGACTTCTCTCTTCATTGAAGTCATTGTCTGGCTGCCATTTCCCGAGCCAACTCCAATTGCAAAACTCTAGGCTGCTGGCCCAACCTCTTATTTGCTGCTTAAATTTTCTGATTCAAGCTGATTTCAGCAGCTTTTGCCCACTACCTGGGCAAGGGTTTTCTCGTAGCAGTGGGCTCCCAGGTGGTCCCCCGCCTCGGGCAGTGTGATTGGCCTGAGCTCTGCCTGCCCCACTGGGCTGCCATGGTGCCTTCTCTCTGTAGGTGGCCTCTCAGGATGTGTCCCCCAGGAGACCCTCTTGGGGGTCCCTGCGGAGACATGGCCTGTCACTCCAGGTGACCTAATCAGTGTGGAAAGCCCAACTGGAAGCCTTCTGTTGGTTTTCTGCCTCCCAACACAAATGCGCTTCAAGTGGTGGTGACCTGACATGGACTCTCAAAGAAAGGCCTTTTGATCCAGCCCGGGGATGCCTGTCCCCGTGTGCTCCTGGCTGCCTCCCTGTGGAACCGTGGCGCCCAGCCGCCCAGCCGGGCCTCTGCTGGGAGGCAGCTGACCTGAAAGTGATGTTATTTTTTTAACGTGGGTTTTAGTACCCAAAGCAATAATATTTTCAGCTGGTTATTGAGGCTGATTAGTGAGCCTTAGGCCTCCATTTGGTTAAAAGAGCCTCCTTCACGGATATATTTTGGGACAGTGCAAATCCAGGGTTCTGCATGGATTGAGTTACCCCAAAGTTGGTCGGCCATTTGCCCAGGGCCTGGGCCTTGCAAAGCATTCTGGGTAAATTCCCATGGTGCCAGACCACTGGGCGGGGTTTCCAGGGGAGCAGGGCACCCGGCGCCTCTCTCCCCAACCTAGAACAAGGGTGGTCAGTTGTGCCTTAAGGCTCTCAGCCCCTTTAGAGACACAGCTCCTGGCCTGTCACTTGCTAGCTCTGTTGTATTTGAACTGGTTACTTGGCCTCTCTGAGCCTCAGTTTCGTCCTCTGTAAATTGGGAAGAATAATAGCTACCTTGTAGGATGAGCCTATAGTCTACTCCATTCTGTGCGTGGGTGTGCGTGCATGCCTGTGTGTGAGGTTGGGGGGATTACTGGAGAGCACAGAGGGAGGAAATAAGAGGAGAAACTCAAGAAGAAGAAGCCACCTTCTCTCTTTAAAGGGTCTCAAGAAAGCATCAATCAAATCAAATCATCAAGAAATGATCAGTGCCACCAGGCCACTTGAGGGTGAGGAGTCGTTGGCCTCTGGGGAGAAAGGCTGTGAGGCAGGTGGCCCAGTGGAAGTCAGGAGGCCTATGCGCCTGTCCTGGCTCTGCTTCAACCAGCTGTGTGACCTTGTGCCAGTACTTTGCTTCTCTGAGCCTCAGTATCCAGCTCTGTAAAGTGAGGGTGTTGGAATCCTTCCAGAACCACTATCCCATAGCCTTGGGATCCAAACAATCATAGTGTTAATGTTTCTTCCTTGGAGAAAATCATTGAATCTTGATTCTCCATCAGAAGAGAAATAGTAATACAAGGAAACTCACTCACTTTGGAGGCACACGTGCCTGGCCACCTCTGTGGGCGTTCCAAGCGCAGCCCACGCTTCTCCTTTTTCCAGGAGGGTCTTCTGGGCTGGCCTGGGGTTAATTGTGCCCTAGACACTGGGTTTGAGAGGTTGCCTTGAACTGGGCCGGGAGGGCTGGGGCGTCTGACTCCGCAGTGAGATGGCTGGAGAGGGATCTTCAGTCTGTCTGTGCTGATGTCATTTCCTCTGTCTCTTTAGAAATAGCTGTACTTTTGGACTGAGGCTGACAAATCCTTGGGTGGTGGATTTTGAAACGGTCATAAACAATTGGCAATTAGTTCCCTTGTCTAAATGAGAAAGGCAGGCTTACCCAGGCTTCTCATTTGCTGGAGGCCTTTTCATCCACTTGGCAAATGCATCAGATGTGAGTGAAGGAGCCCCTCTGGGTCAAGGAAAATGAAAGGGTCCGTCTTTGGGAGGCCTCGCTGCTCCAGAGCTGGGTCCCTAGCTTGGCCGGCCATCTGGAGTCCTCAATTCCTTGGTGTTGAGAAAGAGCTCTGCACTTGGAGGTTCAAGTTGCAGCCCTGCCACCTCCCCTGAGTGACCCTGGGCCGCTCTGCTGGACCATCTGCAGATGAAGGCCTACAGTGGTAGCCCCTCCCTCCCCTGTCACTCCCTGAGCTCTTTTGAGGTTCAGACAAGAGCATCTGAGATCTCTGTATGTTCACTTTGTAAAGCAAAAAGCTGCAAAAGGTAAGGTGTCCATATTATTGTTTTCTCTTGTGAGGTGTAATAGTGACAGTGGTGACAATTATGGCAACTGTTAATTGACTGTTTTATGTGCCTGGCTCTGGGCTCAGAGCTTTATCACGTTCTAGCTGCACAATTGTGCTTCTTCCGTCTGCATTTTATAGAGGTTAAGAAAGTTGTCCAAGGGCATGCAGCTTGTAAGGTCTGGTGACCTAAGGCAGCCTCTGGGGCGAGTGGGGACTTCCAGTTTGGTGGCTCATTATTTTCCACTGGCTTCCTTTGATTTGTCTAAGTCAGTGGTTCTCGACCCCAGCTGTCCAAGCGCCTGGCCCTCGTGGCCAGCAGATCTGCCTCAGTTGGTGTGGGGTGGGGCCCAAGCACCAGTGTGTGCTCCCCATGATTCTAATGTGCGGTCCGGGAGGAAGCCACTGTTCTAAGCACATGTCCACGGATGGTGCAGAGGAGGGTGGACGGGACGTTCGGGCTCCTTGGCCAGGTCTTCTCCCCTCTCTGGGCCTTAGCTTCTTGCCCTGTGGGAGGAGGGGACTGGTCAGGTGACCTCTGAGGTGTCTTCTCCAGGGGCCTCTAAGGCTCTGGAACTATGAGAAGCTCATGAGCAAATCTATTGTTCTTTTCCTTCTTCTGTTTTAGGCAGAATATGAAGTTACTCCAGATGAAAAACTGGGAGAAAAAGGGAAGGAAATTATGACCAAGTACCTCACCCCAAAGGTAAGAGGCTGTCCAACCCCACAGCAGGAGGAATGGGAGGCCGAATCCAGGAATATGGGCCCCAAGTCTGTGCCAGGCCACGTGGGTGCCCAGCTGGTGGCTGCCATTGGTCTCTGGAGATCCAGAATTCTCATCTTGCACCAGAGGGTGCATAAGCCTGGCAGGGCCAAGGTGGGTGGTCCAGGCCTGGGGTGAGGAGACCTACTTCTTGGGGGCCCAGGCCCCTCTGGGGGCCTTCATGCTGCCCATTGCCTACACCCAAGCATTTATGGCAGAGGCAGGGGTCAAGGGTGCCCAGAAGAAAGGGGCACAGCTGGGGTGGTTCTGAGAGGTCAGTGTGGAGGGGAAGGATCTGGGGGTGATCAGGACGGAAAGGGGTTGGCTGAAGCTATGTGGCAGAAGCAACGTCAACTGAATTCGTAACAGAGTGCAGAGTACTCTGAATTATGTTCTGGAGTATCTGAAGGGTGAGGGGCTATGCTGACCTCACCTCAGGAGCACCCCCTATGGCTGAAGGAATAGGGGCAGTGCCACCCCGGGGTTCTGGAGGTATTGCTTCCCTGGAACCTGTGTCTTCTTATGCCCCACATAACAGATAAATGTGTTCTCCATCCAGTTCCAAGAGCCTGGCCTGAGAGACTGGGGTTCTTCTCCCAGCTGTTCTACCCATGCAATCAAGTCATGTTCCCTCAGTGGGCTTCAGTTTCCCTTTCTTAAAAGTGGCCATCCCTGCCAGACCCAACTCCTGGAGGCCTCAAGAGCCTCAGATGAGACCCACATGCAAACAGCTTTGGGCGTGTCCTACATCCCTGTGGGCCAGCGGTGTCTTCGTCCTCACCCAGGACCTAGACACTGTGGGCACTATTCCCCCAGGAAGCGTGCCCCACATGTCCCAGGCTGCTGGTGGACTGAGGTCAGCACAGCCTGTGTGGTGGGGTCCTAGCCATCAGTCCATCCACGCACAATGTGGCAGGAGGAGGCAACACACAGGCAGGCAGGTCAGGAACCGGCCCCACCCCTAGCTTACCATGTGACCTTGGTCTTCCTCTCTCCGGGCCTCAGTGTTCTTTGCTGTAAAATGGGTGAGGCTTGACCAGATAATCTCAGAGTGTCCCTGCAAACTGGACAGTCACAGAGTCCGTCCTCTCCAAGCCCACACTGAGGGAATGACAAGTGATTCACAAGACAAGAACCAAACAATGAGAAACAGAAGGTGAGAGATGCTTCCAGTCAGGGAGAGAGGTATTGCCAATGAGATGTAGAGACTCCCAGGATGTGACCTTCAGCCCCTGAAGAAAGGCAGCCCCTGACCCACCTAAGATTATTAATCAATCAGTTGATTCTCATTTAGCTTAATTCAAAAGACTCCCACCGCCTGCCACCTCGGGGACGCTAATCCCCATGGCTCGGGTCCGTTCATGACTGACTAAAGCTGAATGCAATTAGACATGGACGCTGCAGCCGCACAGGCCGACTTCCACTCAGGCGACAGAGGTAGGATTATGGACAGAAGGAATCCAGGTCCCACACAGCAGCTCCTCCAGCGTCAGGTGGGCTGCTGAAGGCCTGCAGCCCCCTAGTGAAGGCGTCCAGGGTGACACGAGAGGCTTAAAGCCACTGTGGCTCCTTTGTTTAAAATCAGGCCCTCTCCTGTCCGCGGCACAGAGAGAGTCTCTGTATTTTCATAAGTTTTGTCTACCTGACATAGAAGTCCCTTGAGGTGAGTAAACCTCACCTTGATGTTCTTCTCAGCAAAGGTCGCAGGGGGTGCTCGGCAGCTCTGGTCCTGCCTCACCCGCTCAGATGTTATGGAGGTCCCACGGGCCTTGAGTGTGTGGGGCTCCACCACCCCCCGGATGAGCCCTTGTTCAGGAGTAGGTGTGCTTCTCTCCAGCAGGCGGCCACTGGGCATCTCTCTGGGGGCCAGCCCAGCCTCACACCCAGAGGTGTCTCCTGTGTCATTACTCCTGCTGAGCCACCACCCCGGTTGTCATCCTCTCCCTGCTTCCCTTTGCGTTTCTCTACCTCCACTTCCATCGTAATCATATGCTTCTCTTTATGCGAAGGGCAAACACTCCCGGTGCTTTTGCACATTTCAGAAATGAAAGGGTCGATGCTCATAATATACCTCCAGCTGCTGAACAGGGCTGGCTTGCTCTGTACAAGGTGTTGCCCGCTCTATCTGTGGGGCCAGTGGGCAGCGCTGCCAGGCTTTATTCCAGATAACAGACCTCACTGGCATCTGTGAAGGTTCTGAGGTTGAAAGTGGTCAAGGAGGAGACGTCTGAGCAGGGTCCCAGTTCACCCACAGTTGCAGCTCATGACATGTTGTTGAGCCTGTGGGCGGATCATTTTCAATCTGGCCACCACTTGAAACAGAGTGAACACCGGGGGCATGGACAGGCACCCTGAGCTCAGAGGAGGGACCATGCTGGGGGATTGGTTCCCTGGAGGCGATAAGAACAGGGGTGTGCCAGGCGCCTCCTTGGCGTTATCAGTGACGGTTCCAGCCTCCATTACGTGAGAGGTAGATGGCCTTGTTTACAGACGGCTGCCAGGGCCCAGAGAGGGGAGTAACTTGGTAAGACAGCACAGCTAATAGAATCCTCAGCTGCCCTCAGTAAAGGCCATTTCACTGTGGCTCAGCTTTGCCCATCGAGCTCTCCATTTGCACCCCCTTGGAGCTGCCTACCCACTTGGGTTCCCCCCAAATAATGAAAACTAATATGCATTGAGGACCCACTGTGTACAGGCGCCACTCCACTTAGTCCTTACTCTCCCCACGTGATGTGGTTCTATTGGCTTCATCCTCCGGATGAAGAAGGGGAGACTCAGGAGGGGCTGTCACTGTCCCAGGTCCCACTGCTGGGATCAAGCCCTGGTTGGGATGATCCTGGAGCCCTTGGTCCTTCCCCTATGGGGCACTATCGTCTCCCCCCTTCCCTGTCCCCTTGCTGCCCTCCCGCTGCCCCCACCCTGGTGCATCTGCCAACCTGGCTGTGATGTGCAGTGAGGATGAAGTGGTTCCTGTGCCTGGCCTTGCTGGCTCTTTTGGCCTATCCAAGGGCTGCTGCGTGGGGCTGCTTTCCTCTCTCCCCCCAGCCGACCTTGTCCAGAAGCCTCTGCTAGCAGACCCCTGGCTGGGCCCTGCAGACCTCCCCAGCCCTGCTCAGCACTGCCTCCAGCTCCCGGAGGGATGGGGCCCACACTCCCCATCAGCTCATACGGTTTTACAAGTGCCTCAGAGCCTGCCAACATTTTTTCCTTAAGTACTCCTCAATTTTTAAAATTTAAACCACACCATATGTTATGGCCCAGGGGCCTGGGGGAGGTGGTCAAAGCGTCCCGTGGGCCAACTGTTTTCCTACAATAAATTTTCACTGCCTTCCCAGGCCTTCCTGTAGTCACTCTCAGAAACCTGTTTTCCTTGTCAGTGCTGCAGATGCCCCAGGTGCTGGGGAACGAGAGGCCAGGACAGCAGCCGAGCTAGTGGCTGAGGCCCCAGCATTGGCCCTGAGAACTTAGAACAACCCCCAGACATTGTCCCCAAACCCAGATCGCCCTTACCTTGAGGCCCGTCCTCAAGATGCAGCTCAAGTGTCTCAGCTCCTAGCAGCATTTTCCAGCGGGTAGACTGTAGATGTGGATCATTTGAGAAGCTCTGTGAAAAAAACACCTCTGTGGTCAACTTCGTGGGGGCAGTGCTGCATGCCACGTCTCCCCCTTGTAAAGATTCACCCGGCGTGTGAGCATATTAAAGGCTCACAAGTCTTGCAATAAAGAAACCTGTTTAACTGCTAAGAAAGCATCTCCCAAACTTATTTGACTATAAAAACTTTTTTTTTTTTTAATTTCACCTCCTGCTGAATACATCTTGGGCTGCAGAACACATCCAAGAGTCTTCACAACCTGGCTTCCTCCTGCTCCAGCATCCTTTCTCCCATTTCCTCTTGCACAGCCCCCACAATGGGCTCCAGCCACGCCATTTCCCAGTTTCATCTTGACGTCCACACCTCATTCCCTTTGTTCAGGCTGTTCCCAGCAAGTCCCTTCACCTGGCAGGTGCTGCCCCCTACTCCTCTTGCTCCCTTCTGTGTCCCTGCTCAGCCCAATGCCACTGGCTACACAGACCACTCCTACCTCTGGTCAGGGGCCATCGCTCCTACCTGGACGGTTTCTGAGCTCACTGGCCTGTTGTGCTTCTTGGGTCTGTGTGGTGAGTGCTTCTGTGCCCCGGTGAGGGGTTCTGAGGAGCCCGCCTCTCAGAGGGGATGACAGCACATCAACAGATCAGTCGAATGCAGGGTGATGGGAGCAGTGGTGGGGGGGGGGGGGCCGGGGACGGTCCTAAGAAGCTGCCCCTAGACCAGTCTGGGTGAGCCAGGGAGGCTGCTGGGAGGTGAGGCGGCTGAATCCAATTTTAATGTGGTGAGGAGGAGGAAGCCAGGTACAAATGAAAGGAAAGGAGAAGGGCCTCTCATGGGCAAAGGTATAGAGCAGTGGTTCTCACCCAGGGATGTTTTGCTCCCTGGGAGACATTTGACAGTGCCTGGAGAGGTTTTTGATTGACACAACTGGGAGGATATGCTACTGGCATCTCATGGTAGGGACCAGGGATGCCACTGGACATCGTATGATGCACGGAACGGCCCCCACAACGAGAACTGTCTGGCCCAAAATGTCAGTGGTTCCGAGGGTGAGAAGTGTTGGTCCAGAGGTGGGGAAGGGTGTGGGGTGGTCAGTTTTGTGGGAGTGGAAAGAGGGGGCAACTGGGACCTTGTGGGCAGCAGAGCCTGGAAACCACGCTGGGGAGTTCGACGTCATCCTCACGGCAGTGGCGAGCCGTTAGGGCTCTGAATGCCGTTTGTGGTTTAGGATGATCCCTCTGACCACACGGAGGAGAATGGGGAGGGGGAAGGCCTGGAAGCAAGAGCATCCAGGGAGCTGCCACAAGAGCCATGGTGGCGATGGGGACGCACACGGGGGCAGCCGCGGCCATG